TACAGGTGGTCTTGTTCTTAAAGTTAACAATTTACAATGCAAAGCCATATCAAATTCCCGTACACAAGGTATTTTAATATTTATTTATTACTTTAAAAAACTATAAAAGGAAATTTCTATGCTCCAAAATATGCCATAATATTAAGTATATGCTTGACATCTTTAGTATTCCAAGTTTATCCTTTATTTCTATTTTTAGAAAGAGTTTTGTTTACTTTGTGTTTTAGCACTCTTTTAACTTTTTTATCTGATTTATTTTAGGAAAAAGTTTAAAAAAACTCAATGAACTTTTGAGGAGATATAAAAAGAATCAACCCTACTAAGCAAACGTAGGCTTGGGCTAGAAAGAAAGAAGCAACGGCTTTAACGCTTGTTGGAGCTATTAAGCATCTTAGGTGGCGTTTGGTTCGCATAATGTTTTGGATTGAATGAAACCTGTTAAAGGAATTTGGCTTTGAGGGAATTGGAAGGAAATGTTGTCAGGTTTGACTACCTGTTTGGTTGACAGACATTGGAATGAAATATGTTAAGAAATTGAAATCTGTCCGTTTGGTTCACAGAATGTAGCTTAAGAATTGGAATAAAATATTGGTAAATGACAAAAATGCCCTTTTTTGAAAAATTTATTTTTTAAACTAAAAATACTAATAAAATAATTATTTAATACGTAAAAAGATTATAAAACACACAACCAAAATATAATTATAAGCCAAACGACATTACTAAATCGACAATGGTCGACGGTGGTTCAAATCGATGGTGGTCCACAGTGGTTCAGATGGTGGTGGTTCGCAGTGATTCAGATTGATGGAGGTCCATAGTGGTTCTGAGAGGTGGTCAACGGTGGTGCAAATAGGCGGTGGCGGCGGTGGTTTTTCAAATCGATGGTGGTCGGCGGTGTCCAATGGTGATTCAGATCGATGGTAGTCGTTGGTGGTTGGCAGTGATATAGATCGATGGTGGTCCGTTGTGGTTCAGGTGACAATGGTCCAATGTGGTTCAGATCTGCGATGGATCATATTGGTGATGGTCAATGGTGGTTTAGATAGACGGTGCTTTAGATCGGTAGTAGGTGGCGGTAGTTCAGATCGATGGTGGTCTGTGGTGGTTTAGATGACGATGGTCGATAGTGGTTCATTTCAGTTGTGGTCCATGGTGGTCCAGATGGCGGTTATCGGTGGTGGTTCAGATTGACGGTGAATCAGATCAGTGGTGGTGGTCGGCGGTGGTTCAGATCAGTGGTAGTCGGCGGTGGTTCAGATCATTGGTAGTCGGTGGTGGTGGTCTGCGGTGGTAGTCGGTGGTGTGATCAGCGGTGGTTCAGATCGGTGGTGGTGGTCGGTGATGGTTTTGATCAATGGTAGTCGGTGGTGGTTCAAATCGGTGGTAGTCGACGGTGGTTCAAATCGGTGGTGGTCGACGGTGGTTCAGATCGGTGGTAGTCGGCGGTGGTTCAGATATGTGGTAGTCGACAGTGGTTCAGATCGGTGGTAGTCTGTGGTGGTGGTCGACGGTGGTTCAGACCGGTGGTAATCGGCGGTGGTTCAGATTGGTGGTAGTCGGTGGTGGTGGTCAGCAGTGGTTCAGATCAATAGTGGTCAAGAGGTGGTCAACGATGATCATATTGAGTTTTATGAGATTAGAGTATATTAGGTTAAAGACATATTTGATATAATGAAGATAGAGATTCCATTCCATCAAAATACCATGTAGTTGCTAAGGAATGTTAAATTCCTTTATTTGTGGAATTTGTAGGATTTTGAAGATTCATTTCGTGAAAAAGAATGAATTAAACGAGGGAATGAAATTTGGTCAATGAAATTCAACATTCCAATTCCATCGGATTCTTCCAGAATCTGTGAACCAAACGCCACCATTCCATTTTTCAACTGGACATTGGTGTTTGGATGATTAAATCTCTAGACAATTTTTTGGAACAAATAAGTCATTCGACATTTCAAAACATATTAAATAACTTCTTAAACTTTATAAAACATGTTAGATACATTCTTATGACCTGGTTTCGATGATTTAGATTCCCGAGTTATATCCACTTGTAGATTTTAGAAAAAACTAAGCTCATTAAAAAGTAATATTGAACTGAGCTACAACACAAAAGTTATGCCTCCCGATTAGATTCTTAAGTTATATCCACTTGTAGATTTTAGAAAATTAGGTTTTTTTTTTGTTTACCTCTTAATAGTTCCATTAAGAGATGAATCTTGTTTGACAAAAAAAGTCTACCTCTTAATAGCTCTAAAATCTTCTGAATGATTTTGCATCTTGAGCCTCCCTTAACCATTCAACGCCCTAATTTCACTGTAAACAATTACCAAGCAATTATATTTTATCTTGCATTATATCATGAAAGTCTCTTAATCATTCTAACCACTTAATCATTCTGCATCAAACCATTCAGCAACTATCAAACAACCCCTAAGCTGATTAAAAAATAATATTGAATTGAGCTACGGCATACGAAACAAAAGTTATGCCTCCCGATTAGACTTGTTAGTTATATCCACTTGTAAATTTTAGAAAGCTAAGCTGATTAAAAAAATAATCTGGAACTGAGCTACGAGTCAAAAGTTATGCCTCACGGGAACTTTACTACGAAATTTTTTTAAGAAATTATTTACGACAAGTTACAATTTCATAAAAAAAATCATCTCAATCTGAATTACGAGTCAATAGTTATGACCCTCCGAAGTTTACTATAGAATTTTAACAACTTTGATACGACTTATTTTTTTACAATTTCGTTACGAAATTTTTTACTATCTTGAAAATGTAAGAAACGCATTTCAATTTTTTTTTAGAATTTCGATCTGAATTATGAGTCAAAGATTAATCCCCGATATTTAGTATGAAAAATGGTTTTTTTTTTTGATTAACCTGGATATCCAACCCGCTATGCGAGCTGATTAATCCCAAAGCGACCACCTGCTTTGCAGATAGCCCGGAGTCACCACATTTGAACCTCCGTGGCCACAAGAGGATTTTTATTCCTACTTGGATTTGAACCTGGGACCTCCTGGTAGTTTTGACCTTTGGAGCCAAGCTCAAACCAATCAGACACCACCCTTGTGGTTAAAAATGGTTAATTTCGTTACATAATTGAACAAAAAAGGATTTGAAAGATCACTTCAGTCTGGGTTACGAGTCAAAAGTGATGATGTTTTGAAATGCACTACGGAAAATGGCTAAGAAATATTTACGATTTTGTTAGGACTTTGGAGGGCCAAAATTTTGACTTCGGACATAAATGATGTTTTTTTTCCCTGAAGTTGCTTATTTTTCAAAATTCTCATGGTCGTGCAAAATTTCATAAGAAAATTAAAAAGAAGTCGTAACAAAATCGTAACCGTTTTTCGTTGTCAACTTCGACGGTCATAACTCTTGACTCAAATCAATATGATTTTTTTTTGAAAGTGCTTATTTTCAAGATCTAGAATGTTATAAAATATTTCATACAGAATTACGTTACAAAATCGCAATAAAATCTCAAACAATTCGTAGCCATTTTTCATAGTGAATCGGCCATGACTCTTGACTCGTAACTTGGACATAGATGATATTTTAAGTCGCTCATTTTCTTAGCAACATCTCTTGAAACTACTTCGTTACAAAATCGTAGTAAAATCTCAAACAATTCGTAACCATTTTTCGTAGTGAATGGAGGGCCATGACTCTTGATTCATAACTTGGACAATTACTCAGATCGAGATATATTTTTATAAGTTTCTTATTTATTCAAGATCTACAATTTTGTAATTTTTTTGCAATGGACTCGTAATAGAACTGTAAATAATTCACAACCATTTTTCGTAGTGAACTTTGGGAGGCAATTACTCTTGATTGCAACAATTAGGTCGTGATAATTCACTACAAAAATGAAGAGTATCAGCGAGGAAAAATTTCATCGCTGACCCGTCCCTAAAGGGGTCTTCTATCGCTGATAGTCTGTCAGTCAAAAGTTCATAGGTTATGCTATCAGCGAAGAATTCAGCGAGGGATCCCTCGTAGGTAATGTTTATAGGGAACTGATTTTTGGCTATTCCCTCGCAGAACCCTCACTGATCTACTAGGGATCAACGAGAGAAATGACAAAAAACCAATTCCCTCGTTGATTAGCGAGAGTACTGGTTTTTGCCAGTTCCCTCGCTGATCCCTCCCTGATCAGTGAGGGATTTTTTCTGTCGCTGATACTTAGTTTTCTAGTATCGATTGTTCTTAAAATTGTTTATTTTTCAAGTTTTAGAAGATGATAGAATTTGGAATCTATGAAATCGTCATGAGTCCATAAACAATTTAGCAACTATTTTTCATAGCAAATTTTAGAGACCGTAACTATTGATTCGTAACATGCATCAAGATGATTTTTTTTGAACTTACGTATTTTTCAAGATCTACATACTGATAAAATTTAAGAATTTAACTCGTCATATTCAGTTCACAAAATATCGTAAAATAAACAAGAGGGGGAATTAAATGTAATGGAACATAAAATAAAAGTGAGGAAACGAAGAGAGGTAAACGTGAAAGAAAAACAATTCCGAACATTAATCTTGTGATCAATGTGAACGTATACACTTATATCACTTTGTTCTCGATATCCAGATCGATCACAAGATATGAAAGTGTCATGTTTGTTATGTTCCATGCGTAGTTTCTTTATTCTTGAATTGTCTCCCAAAATAGACATTGATGTCTAATATTGATTATCTGATCATGCATGTTGTTTCTCTATTCTATTCCATCAAGGGTCACAGACATCATCCGTGTCTGATAGGAAACACAAATCTTATCTTGATCAATTCTAGTACTACTATGTGATACATGGCATATTGAACCAGTTACAACATGCTTAGAATTAGCGTCAAAACATGCCATTTAGTCACAGTAACTCTATGATCGCAAGTCAAAAGACTACAAGACTACATATTAACACTCATGCAAACACAATATGTTTTTCTGTAGGAGTTGGTGTAGAATACCTTGATGAACTTCAACCAAACGGTTTGTCATTTATCAATCGGCAGAATGACACCGTGGACGATGACGTGGACAAAAATAAGGTGTTACTCTCGTACTTCAATTTTATTTGCATATATTTATTGTATCTATAGATGTTGTACTAACATCGTTCGTTATTGTGGTGGTGCTTACAAGATTTTGTATCCAAGCACCGAGATCAAAGGGTTTGTTGAGACAATCAAAGCAATGTTGCATTCTATGGATGACGGAGAGACAACTATGTCGGCTTACGATACTGCTTGGGTTGCACTCGTGCAAGATGTTAATGGAAGTGGTCGTCCTCAGTTTCCGTCATGTTTGGAGTGGATTGTGAACAATCAACTCCCCGACGGATCTTGGGGTGAGGGTTTGATCTTTTTGGCTCATGATCGAATCATTAATACGTTGGCCTGTGTGATCGCATTAACTTTTTGGAACGTTCATCCTAGTAAATGCCAAAAAGGTAATTGTTCTTTTATCATTAACCACTATCACAAAACTGAGTTTATAGGACGTCTAAAACGTTTAATCGTCCTAATATAAATAGGACTTACGTTTATGAGACCAAACAATATATAAAACTTATGTCGGAAATAGTTACAATAGGTTTATAGGACGTTTTTTTGGCATTTTAACAATTTTTTAGTACATTTTAAAAATAAAGTGCCGTGTTAGCTATTTTATAAAACAATTTTGAGAAATGTCCAATAAACTCATCTTTTTTTGTGACAATTGTGTTTTTAGTATACGTTTTCAAATATTGTCGTGTAAAATAGCTAATACGACACTTTATTTTATAAAATGTCATAAACAACTTGTTAAAACGTTAAAAAACGTCCTATTAACCTATGTGACACTTTTAGATTTGACGATACATTCAATTAGAACACTTAAACATCATATATATATATATATATATATATATAAACCTAATTTTATATAGCTTGGTGGCATAAGTAATAATACTAAAAGAATTCAGATCATCTAGCATGAATTTTACTATATAAATTATGGAGAATTTAGAGGTAATTTTCAGAAAAAAAAACCCCAGGCATTATCGAGAATAAAATCCATCACGAATATCGTCATGATTTATACAGGAGTGCAATTTCTGAAAGAGAACATAAGCAAACTTGAAGATGATAACGAAGAACATATGTTGATCGGTTTTGAAGTAACGTTTCCTTCACTTATCGACATTGCAAGGAAGCTCAATGTTGAAGTCGGAGAAGATTCTCCGGTCTTGGAAGAAATTTACGCAAGACGGAACATGAAGCTCACAAAGTCGGTACTTTATAGTTTACACAACGTAATTTTTTCTTCTTCTAAAACTTAGGGCTCGTTTGGTTCATGGAATCTGAACGAATTTGACAAAATTAGAATGATAAATTCCTTGATGATTTTTGGTTTGCAGATCAGATTGACTGGAAAATGCCAAATTCCATGGTTGAGTGATTTGATAATTTCTTGACATAAGTGAAGTAATTGAATTCCATTACATGACAAATTTAACAAATTTTATATTTTGGTTTAAAAAAAAAAACCTTTGTATCCAATTTAACCAACATCATCCCACTGCCCACAGTCAACATCGCCGCCACCATTGTTGTTCCCGTCGTTGCTGCCACCACCATCACCGCCGTTGCCACCACCACAAACTCCAATTAGTATTATCAATCTATCACCACCCAGCCCACCCCACCCCACCCCACCGTCACCACTGTTGTCGTGACAACTGCCATCCACCACCACACTATTACTGTCGTTGTCACAACCGCTAACCACCCACCACCCTGCTATTGCTGTCATCGTCATAGCCGCTAACAACCCACCATCGACACCACCATGCCACAACTGCCGTCACAACCGCCAGCTCCACCCCCACCCCAACCAACCATTACTGCCGCCACCACCGTTGTCACAACCGCCACCCACCCACCCACCACCGCACCACACCACTACCATCGCAACCCTACCACGACCATCAACTAAGATTTTAAGCTAAAAGTTTGAAAATGTGTTAAAAGGGGTATTTTAGTCACTTATGTTAACCAAACATGCAAATTCAAATTATTTTGAGAGATGCTATTCCAATTCATGCCAAGCAAAGGCGTGGCCAAATTTCATTCCACTTCCTTTAAAATCAAAATTTTTGATGGATTCCAATTTCACCAAATTGTAATATGCGAACCAAACGCACGCTTGAACGAAAAACAAATTATGATGGTTACCTTTTCACCTAAAACGATCATAACATGTTCTTTTTTTGTGACGAAAAGGATACCGAAGAGCATAATGCACAAAGTGCCCACAACTTTACTTCATAGCTTAGAAGGAGTGCCAAATTTGGAGTGGGAGAAACTTGTAAAACTTCAATGCAAAGATGGGTCATTCCTCTTCTCCCCATCATCCACTGCTTTTGCACTGATGCAGACTAAAGATGAAAAGTGTCTTCAATACCTCACAAACATTGTCACCAAATTCAATGGTGGAGGTGTGTTTACATATCACTTAATTTTGTTGTTGTACAGAAGGAATGTTTCTAAATATGTAATCTTATCTTTCTTCTGGTTCATGATCATGATGCAGTGCCGACTGCCTACCCGTTGGATCTTTTCGAACATATTTGGGTCGTTGATCGCCTCCAACGCCTTGGGATTTCTCGTTATTTCAAGTCAGAGATCGAGGATTGCGTTCAGTATATCTACAGGTATGCAAATATGATAAAAATTGTTTAATCCACTACTTATGGACCTCGTAATTAATTAAACCTGTATATAATAGATACACTACAACAAAATTAATTGGATTTATAGAATGCCAAAAATGTTTAAGCGTCCTAATAGACTACTTTATACGACTTAATTTATAAGAGCAAACAATAAAGCATCTTATCTAAAGGTGTAAAAAGTTTATATAATGTTTTTCGACGTCGTAACAAGTTTTTATGACATTTTATAAAAAAAATCATATTAGCTATTTTATAGGACACCATTTGAAAAATTATGTCTTATAAAAACAAACGTCATATAAAAATTAAGAGGTATTCATAGAACACTTCTCAAAAGTGTTCTACAAAATAGTAATGCAGAGGTTTTTATTAAAAATGTCCTAGAAAACTTGTTAAAACGCAAAAAAAAAAAAAAAAAACAACGTTATGTAAACTTATTACATGTCATTTAAACATGGTGTTCTATTGTTTGGTCTTATAAACTTAAATCATATAAGCCGTCTATTATTACACCTAGAAAATGTTGGCATTCTATAAATCCCATTTTGTTTCAGTGATGGGAACCTTTTCTCTTTACAAGGGCTCTTTAGAGAGAATGAAATGGGTTTCGCATATCTTAACATGGTATCGGAGCTGAGGTCTACCATATCTGGGGACCCGAAATGCACACTTTTTATGCACATATCCTAAAAAATGAATGAAATTTCAGGTATTGGACTACAGACGGTATCTGTTGGGCGAGAAACTCAAATGTACAAGATATTGACGACACTGCGATGGCATTTAGGCTTTTGCGAATGCATGGTTACGAAATTTCTCCAGGTTAGTTTACATGTAATGCTCGAAAATTCAATATATTGGCGATGCTTTTATTGACGAATTCAAGATTAACGAGTGCTTTTGTGGCAGATGTGTTTCAACAATTCGAAAAAGATGGAAAATTTGTGTGTTTTGTCGGGCAAACAACACAAGCCACCACCGGAATGTTCAATTTATTACGGGCATCTCAGGTGCTCTTTCCCAGAGAGAAAATCCTCGACGATGCCAAGAAGTTTTCTTATAACTATTTGAAGGAGAAACAATCAACGAACGAGCTTCTTGATAAATGGATCATCGCCAAGGACTTGCCTGGCGAGGTACGTGAATACCACTACAAGAATAAGTTCATCTTGCGTGAAAATTTCTTCTACGACACATACTTACATCAAACTTATTTTGAACCACAAATCAACAGGTGGGATACGCGCTAGACGTGCCATGGTATGTGAGCTTGCCTCGACTCGAGACGAGATGTTACTTGGATCAATATGGAGGCGAGGACGATGTTTGGATCGGAAAAACATTATACAGGTACTACTACATGCAGTGGCGGACCCAAGATTTTTGCCGAGCAAGTGCACCTTTAAATTGGATCAAATGCCCACAAAACTACTCGAATTGTTTTTAGCCGAATTCTGGAGGATTTTTTTTGGTTGATTTCGATGATTTTTGGTTAATTTCAAGGAATTTTTCGAAGTTCTTTTTGGATGATTTCGAAGGAGTTTTTTAGGTCGATTTCGTGAGATTTTTTTTTATGTAAAGACTAAAATAAAAAATCAAAACAAACAAATCAATGAACTTTAACGGTTGCACCTTTCATATAAAAAAATGTCTACTTACAAAATTAGATTGAGCGGATGCATGCACGGGACCCCGCCCCCGCCTATGTAGTTCCGCCCCTGACTACATGATCACGTAAACGTAAATTTGGCAAACAAAGACTTCACCATTATATTTGAATGGTCCCATTTTTACATCCTGCAGGATGGGGAATGTTAGCAATAACAAGTATCTTGAAATGGCTAAATTGGATTACAATAACTGTCTAGCCATGCATCAGCTCGAATGGAACACTATGCAGCAGTAAGTTTGCTAGTTTTCTTTAAATATTTCCAATGCTTTTTTTTGATCTAACTTGATGGAAAAACCTATAACAACAGATGGTATGTGGACTTCAATATCGGACGGTTTCGGGTGAGCAATATCACGAGTCTTTTGGTCTCATACTATTTGGCTGCAGCCAGCGTATTCGAGCCAGAAAGGTCCAAGGAGCGAATAGCGTGGGCTAAAACAACCACATTAGTTGACGCCATCTCCTCGTTATTTGATTCACTACAACTCTCGAAAGAGCAGAGAAGAGATTTTGTCGATGAGTTCAGAAACACACCATCGTCGCTTCGTCCCGCCAGGTGTGTTTTCTTCTTTATATTTTAGGGTTCAAAAGCATTAGCGACAGACTGTTTTGGGTGTCACAATAGGTTTTCTCGATTGCTAATTTTCTGTTTTGAACATAGATGTGGAAAACCATGGCACTGGTTGATGGTTGCACTACAGGGAACCCTACATGAGCTTGCGTCGGGCATACTCACGGCTCATGGTAGAGACATCCATCCACAACTTCACCATACCGTAAGTTCGTTATATCTTCTCTACAACAAAATTGGATTTACAGGAAGTCAAAAACGTCCAAGTGTCCCAATAGACTACTTTATTGGACTTAAGTTTATAGGACCACACAATAAAACGTCATACCTAAAAGTGTTATAATATGTTTATATGCCGTTTTTGGCGTATTAACAAGTTCTTTTAGAACATTTTTAAGATAAGTCGTACATTTATTAGCTATTTTATATGATACAATTTGAAAAATGTATTACAAAAAGCAAATGTGCTACAAAAAGATGCATTTGTATAGAACAATTCTCAAAAGTCCAATGTTAAATAGCTAATACGACACTTTTCTTAAATGTCCTAAAAACTTGTTATATAGACTTATTACAACACTTTTAGATAAGACACTTTAATTATTGTTTGGTCCTATCAACTTACGTCCTATATAGTGGTCTATTAGGACACTTAAACATTTAGCGTCCTATAAATCCGATTTTGTTGTAACGCGTTGCTTCTCTTTTATGACAGGCTATATAGTTGTTGCTAATGATCATGTTTCCTATTTCGTCTTTCTGAAATCAGTGGGTGATCTGGTTGACGAGGTGGCAAAGGGGTGATGCGATGGAAGGACACGCATTACTGATAGTTCAAACAGTGAGCTTGATCGATGGCCGATGGACATCAAAGGAGCTCTTAGCTCATCCTCAATACCAACGGCTTTCGTCTGTCACTAATAACCTTTGTCACGAAATATCCCAGTCCCATAAGTCCAATGTACATACGAATTCGCACATCCTCGTTTTGAATTCAGTCAAGATTCTTTAGTTCTTATTCAATTGACATAATAAATCTTTCTATATTAATTGTTAGGAGAACCGCAAGACATGCTTCGAGAATGAAACTACGTACAGAACGCAAGAGTTCAGAATGCAAGAATTAGTGCAACTCGTACTCGGCAACTCACCCGATGATCTTGATCGGGATTTGAAGCAGCTGTTCCTAACCGTCGCGAAAACTTTCTTTTACAAGAGCTACTACGATCCAGTGACGATAAATGCTCATATCTCCAAAGTATTGTTCGAAACTGTAATTTAAAAACACTGATTAATCTCCCTCAATGCATACTGCCCATGATGCCATTCTATTATACAATATTACCTTTCGTTGTGTGTTATTTTGTATCTCTTTTATATATATATATATATATATAGGAGAGATCAAATAAAAACCGCCCTCATTTGTGTAAACCGTGCAAACCACCTTCATCCGTCGATTTCATTGTTTAATCTTATGAAATTTTTTCATGAAATTGTTTAATTTTGTGAAATTGTTTCATATAATACTTTTTTTGATCAAGTTGTTTCATATATGGTTGTGAAATTGTTTCATATAATACTTAATGAAACTGTTTCATGTATTTCTCTAAAATTAATGAAACTGTTTCATGTATTTCTCTAAAAATTAAAATAATGAAGATGATAATATCTATGATTAACACCATCCACAATAAAAATGATTAATCAACCTCTCATAATTACAAAAAATGAACAAAATGAAAAATTATAATTGGTTGAATGAGATTTGCACGGTTTGTACAAATTGAGTGGTTTGCATTTGATCGCTCCCCTATATATATATATATATATATAACACATACATGGTTATATTATCATAAAAATAAACGAATGATTTATTACAATATTGTGACGGCTAATTTGAAATTCCAAAAGTTTCTGCTAATTATAAGTTTGCATCAAACAGCTGACTTTTCCCGATGGAAAAACCGTCGGTAATACGTGGCAAGGTCGGATCCATCAGTCCCTCGAAAGAAATATCGTGGGAAAAGTATAATCATATCAACGACGGATCACCAACGAACACATCTACCGGCAGATCACCGATGGTTGACTTCACGTACGGATACCATCACCAACGGATCACCGACCGTTTTGCCAACAAATTACCGACGGCCTAAAAAATAATTACTGACAGAAATCCGTCAATAATTTTGATTTTTTTCAAAAAATAAATTTCTTAATAATGTATTCCTATTCATTAATCAATACATCGTATATATCAATTTTCTAAAATTGTATTAGAAAAGAAACCATACCTAAAACCATCTACTTGAAGAGAGTAGCAAATATACATACCATAAAAAAACTATACACGTTTCTACACAGCTCATATTATCCATAAACAAACACTACCAAACTGGTCAACTTTTCTAGCGGTCATATCCGTCGGAAAACAGAGTTTCCGGCGGATAAGGCCGTCGAAAAATGATGCGCTGGTGATTATTTTTCGGCGGATTCCCGGTGGAAGTCAATGAAAGTTGACTTTTTTTGTTGTCCACCGGAAATCCGCTGGTACTTCTCCGGCGGATTTTTCCGCCGGAAATACCCAGTTTTCTGGTAGCGAAATCATTGTTTCTACACAGCTGATGTTGTTCATTCCCATCATTGCACTAAAAAATAATAAAATTCTACTATTCTAAAATTATATGTTTCGTTGTTGTTCAACCAATAAAATTAAAACACATCAGATTTTTATATATTTCAGATTTATTTTATTCAAATTCATATTCTCTTTTTGATATTAATATTGATTTATATATTTTTGGATTTTGTACAGTGATATTAATATTGGTTTAGTTTATTTTGAAATAATAACATTCTCTTTAAAATATTTGTGATAAAATGTAATATAGAAACTCAACTATATAGACCTTGAGGGCTTTACAAGGTCGAATTCCTGTTAAACAAGACTAGCAGATATGGGTATAGACCTTGATAATACTATTCGTCCGTTATGTAAGCAAGTCGCGTGGAGATAGTAGATCATATCCCTTTCTTGTGTGATGTTTTTGCTGCAATTTGGAAAAAACTAGAAGGTTGGTGGTAGTTTCCTTTCTCTTCTGCCGTTGGAAGGAATAAAGACGGCCCACATCTCTTCGTTGAATCATCAGTGCTTGGAGGCTATTAATTATGTTCATTACTTGCTATTATGTATGAAGCATCTGGAATAGAGCTGCTTTCGATAAATTAGAGCCAAAGAAGGACATTACTTGTGATTTAATTATTGATAACTTATCTTTTAGATGAATGTTATATAGGCACAAGGCGAGCCTAAAAGATGTGTTGTCGTGGAGAACTTGTCCCTTTCGTTGTTTCGAGCCTCGATAATTAATGAAACAATAATAAAATTCTATTATCCTAAAATCACACGTCTTATTCGTATCTAATTAACCAATGAAATAAAGACACATCAAATTTTAATAAATTTTAGAACATAAAATATGAAATTTTGGAAGAGGAGATTTTTATGACTAAAAAAGTAAGGTATGATGAGCGGTTTAAAATGAAGAATGAAGTCAATACTCGAGCATCCTCATCAGCTGCATTTTTTGCCCACAGAGAAAGTTTGTCCTCTCATCACCCTCATCAAATTGCTACCAGTAAGTATATTTACTTGCTTACCCACTGAATCCACATACACATGCATCTCTAAGAGTTATACTATATATACATACATATACACACACACACACACACACATATATATATATATATATATATATATATATTTACTTACTTACCCAATGAATCCACAGACATGCATCTCTAATAGCTATACATGTATATTTACTTGCTTACCCANTGAATCCACAGACATGCATCTCTAATAGCTATACATGTATATTTACTTGCTTACCCACTGAATCCACACACACATGCATCTCTAAGAGTTATACTATATATACATACACACACACACACACACATATATATATATATATATATATATACACACACACACACACTTGCTTACCCGATGAATCCACAGACATGCATCTCTAATAGCTATACATGTATATTTACTTGCTTACCCACTGAATCCACACACACATGCATCTCTAAGTTGTACATATACATACACACACACACACACACACATATATATATATATATATATATATATAAGGGGTTCTCTTAACATGATTAGATGGACGAATGGTAATAATCAAGAACCTATATATATATATATATATATATATATATATATGGGTTCAAACGAGAACCCCTGTGATTTACGAGAACGCAAGAACAACTCAATAACCTCATATTATGATAAAAAATAAAATTAAAAGATTTTTAAAATTAAAATTGAAATTTAAAAAGATTCAAAAAAATTTAAAATTAAAAGGGTAATAATGGAAATGATATCATCAAATCTTTTAAACACGATCATTATCTTTTAAACACTCATTATTATCATTAATCTTATCATTATCTAGTAAAACGGTTACGAAATAGGTTAGGATTATACTAAGTGTAATAATCATGTGATATGAGTGTGATAATCATGTGATAGGGGTGTGATAATCATGTGATAGGGGTGTGATAATCACCATTATACATCACTTGGGTTATCGTTTTGGTTAATAAGTTAAAATTTTGGTGTAATCATGTGATAGGGGTGTGATAATCATGTGATATGA